GTCCCAGCTCCTCTCTGCAAAGAGTGGAGAGCAAAGGAAGCCGGCTCCAAGGCCTGCCTGGCCGAGCTACCCACTCTGTGACGGAGCCACAATGCTTCAATGCGAAAAGGCCAGTGATAGCAGGACAAATAGATCACCACTACGAAAGGATACTGGCTGCAATCCTGCCCCCACTGAGGCCAACGGGAAGCCTGTCAGTGACTCAGGAGCATTGACTTTGGACTAGAAGGGATCACATAGGTCACCATACCCAGTCCCTTGCTACCACCGACAACCATGAGACGCTTTGTTTTGATCACGCTCCACATTGAAACCAGGTAGGGTTTACACCCCCCCGATGATCCAACTTGGAGGCTCTTCCAAAGCATCAGGGCTGCAATGTCCTTTACTTTACTCAGTCCTCCTCTCTCCCTGGTGTTTTCCCCAACAGTGTATTTGCTGAGAGCAAGCCTACCCCCTCCCAGCACTCATCCTGCTACACTAGCGAAGGCTAACCTGTGGCTCGCACCCCACTAGCGGCACAGGCAGCCTGTGTGTGTGGCACACAGCAGCTGGGGGTGGTGGCAGGCAGCAGAGCAGGGGAGAGGGCAGGGAGCAGAAAGCAGAGCAGCAAATCAGGCAGGGAGCACAAGACAGGAAGCAAAGAGCAGGGGGGTGGATCAGGCGGGGAAGAGGAACAGAGCGGCACTTGGGGAGGGCACAGAGCTTAATTTGTGGCACGCCTGCCAAAGAGGTCGTGTCCCCCCCCCGCCACCGTACTAGGTCCAAAAGCCCAGTTCTTGCATCTCCTCTCACAGGGGAGGCTCTCCATCCCCCCACCCCGCCTGTAGCTTTTTGGCAGCTTTTCCTGAAAACGGGTGACCAGAATCATGCGATCTCCTGAGTGCCCTGTGCAATGGCAGGAATAATTCCTGCTCTCTACTGGAAAAATGATGCCCGATACAGCTTATGATTGCATTTGCCCTTTCACAGCCACAGACTAGGCACTCGTAGGCATCTTCTTACCAACTAATGCACCCAGGTCTTCCTCTGTCGCTGTCATTTCCGACCTACGAGCTCACGGACAAGACTTTGCTCAGGTCCTGAGCCGCGTGCAGAACAGTCCAAAGGAAAATCTGTCGTAATTTTTTCGTTAACATCTCTGCGTAGGACACCTGTTATAATTAGTGTATGTCTTGCTCCCCCCTGCTGTTTTGAACACCACCTCATCCTATTCACCATACATGCTACATTTATATAAAGTCACTATTGTCTGATGGACCGAGCATGGGGCCGGAAGCCAGGAATTTATGACACCTAATCCCAGACCCAGTAATGACCTTGTGTGGCCTTGGAAAATTCACTTGACGTCTTTGTTACTCAGCACTAAAATCGGAATAATGATCTTTACTCACCTACCTCAGAGGCGTGTTATGAGGACAGATTAGTTCATGTTTGTGCTGTGCTTTGGAAATATAAAATAATATCTAACTGCTAAGAATTATTACAGCCAGTTGTTTTCATCCATTTTCGTGCCATGCATCTGTGTTTGGTGGTTGCTGTTTCGTTTATGATGAGCTTAATAGCACGTGGAAGCAGAGCTTTCATAGCAAATAATACATGTTAACGGGTTCATTCATTTAAAATACTGAACTACTTTTTCCCCAAATGTATCTGTAATTTGCAGAGTTTGGAACTGGCCTCTTGATCAAATCCCTTGTGGCAGAAATAAGCCAAATTTCCTTTTTTGCAACGTGTTCTACTTTCGCGGAGCCCATTCGGAAAGTGGAAATACAGGTATCTTAAGTACCCATCCCTCCAGTCAAAATCTCTCTATTTTCTCTGTTGTACTTTACATATGAAAGTGATTTCTTCAGGAAAAAAAAAATGCATGAATTTTCACACTAAACTGAATCCAGATAACAAGAGAAAAGAGAGAAAAACTTAATTAGAAAGAATTAATTGGGAAAGATGCATCCTGTTGAGCAGTTTGCCGGAGGCCCCCATTACAGTCGTGGTGCTATGGTTACGGTTGAAATGGCACATCCTCCCAAATAACCTGATTTTACATCAACAGTGAAGAGCAAGATCATCGTTTGCCCTACGTGCCCATTTGGGGAAGAAGCGAGGAGACAGCTCCTCGTCCCTTCTTCATGGACGAAACGCCCCATGGCTCACAGCGCAGGGTGAAGTGCAGCCCTTGCAAGCAAGTACCTCCTGACCCACTCTGGGGGGGGCAGACTATAATGGCAGGGCCCGGGCAGAGTCTGGACACCGCTGCCCCATGAAGCATCAGCTGGTGCGGCACAGAGGAAGGCAGTCACCAGCGGCTGGCAGAGTAACGGGGGAGCAGGGAACAAGCTAGCTCTCGAGTATGTCTGCACTGTGCCACGCAGACCCACAACCTGCTCCCCGGTTTCTCCAGGAGTGGGGCAACTGCGTGCTACCCTCCTTCAGATGAGATATGAAAACCAGCTAGCCCTGATCCTTCTGGAAAGAAAAAAAAACATTGCCTCTCTCATGCTCAGTTTATGTGCAGAAGTGATCATTTAGGTGCGAGGAACGTGTTAAGTCAATCAGGCTCCCTGATACTTCAAATTCAATGCATTAGATAGTTTCAAAATATTAACACAATAGAGCAATTTTCTCTCACTCTCACATGGAGCCTCTACTCATCTAATTAATAAAAATTTCAAGGAACTTGCATTTACAGCTGTGTTTATTTTAAAATATTAAAAACAAGTGCACTTCAGTGACCGCCGTGCCTTCAGATAACTGCTGTTGAAAAGCTGGTTGCTATGCAACCTAAAGTATTGTCCATATTATCCTCACCAAGAGATGACATATTGTATGAAATAAAATAATCCTCTTTAAAAAACAATACAGTAAAAAGCTGGTTTTGGGGGGCAGAAAGGGGAGCTTGCAATAGCTCAGGGCTCTTGCAAGCTCAAAAGAAAGACGGTGTCTCTCTCCTACAGCTACACTCCATCAGTTACTGAGCCATAATGCAATTGTGATGATTAGTGATATGGCACGGGTGATAATACATATAAATTGCTTGGAATAGAGCAAACAAGCCTGAAGATATCAACTCTAAGGTTTCTTAAGCAATAGTTTACTCAAAGCAGCTGCCGGGATGATATTTCAGAGAACGAAGCCAAATAGGCCATTTTACCCAACATGGTCTCAGCCTGTACGTGTCCCATTTGTCCTAAAAAGCTCTTTTATTTATTTCACAAGGAACATTTTTGTGTTGGTGAAATAAGCTGGACGGGAGGAGACAAAGCATCTGTCTGCAGAGGCAGAGGGCTCAGTTATACCGTGGGGGAAACAATCCCTGCCCACCCATCCCTGCTCCATGTGCATCAGCTCTGGCAGTGAGGTGGGGAGGATGCCCTGGGGGTGGCCCTGGCACTTTGCTCAGGATCTCGGGTCCTGGGGTGCACGACAGCCACAGCCACAGTTTCACAGCCCCACTTGACAGAGCGGGTGGAAATTACGGTATAATTACATTGACTTAACGTTTGTTTTACGTTTCCAGAATGGTGTGAAGTGGCTTTGACGTGACGCAGAGGTACGGTGCTCCTCACGGTGAACGTGGCATCGGAGTCCAGCTCAAAGCCACTTCCCAGAGCAACCCTTATGCTCTCTAGTTATGTTGGATCGCAGCTTTCCCCTCCCTAAGTGTATGGACCATGGAAATTGTTTGACAAGGTGGCAGGTGCAAACTCTTTTCCTCTTAGCTCACCATTTTTACATCACCTCACTTGTCCCAAAGCAATTTAACAATATTATGCTCCCTTGGGAGACAGGAGAGAGAGAGAATCACTGCTTCCATCTACAGAGAAGCTCAGTCAGAAGGGGGAAGGCCAAGCAGTGGGGCAGTGGCATTGCCCAACTAGACCACGGGGCCTCCTGCCTCCCCGAGAGCTCACTCCTTCGCTCCTGTAAATCAGCACCAATCTGTTGGCTGCGGCTCCAGCAAAGCCGTTTCCACCCGTTTCCACCCTCCTTTTTATGGACACTATTTAGATTATCTGCCCCTACCGCAGACTGGGCATCATGGAAGAGCATCAGCGCTCGCACAAAGGGATGCCATGTTTTCTGGCTCTACTTGGAGCAGCTGTGGGCACTGCTGAGTGCAAGAGGCTTTGGCAATGTTCATCCCCAACCAATGAAAGTTAGAAACATCCTCATAACTCTGCTCCTGTTTCCATGGAACTAGATGTTGCTCAGGCAAGAAAATGGGGTAAAAGTACTAAATATTTTAAAAGCACTTCACTTCCAAGCCCATTTGCCATCTCAGTGTCCTTTCCTGGAGGTTTGCCTGAAAACAGCCCCTTTCCATGGAAACAGCAAGGGAAGATCTTGGAAGACCATGGAAACAGCGAGAGAACAGAAAAGAACATCTGTAATTCTTAATGGGGGTTTGATTCAGCCAAGTGCTGAGCTCCCTGGCTCCAGTTCAGAAATGCACGTATTTAACTTTGAGCATGTGTGTAGTCCTATTAAAATTAAGCACAAGCTTAAAGGATTTGTTGGGTCAGAGTCAGGGTTCATCAGTATGTGGAATACACCCACAATGCCATTATTATATTGGTATAGCCATGGATTCCTGCTTGCTTATATGCATTCATGCAAATAGTATATATTGCATCCCTCTAGTGGCCAAAAGGGTCACCACCCACAAAACTTGCCAGGAGTTATTCCAAACAGACTAGGTAGTCACACTGCCAAACCAAAGTGTTAACTTCAGCTGACATAAGTAGGGGGAAAAAAATTACTAAATCTCAATCATTTGCCAGCATGAAGTGTGTATGATAAAGGACAAGTATAAACATAAGCTCTCTATCATACATTAATGTTACATTCATAGACATATAAGGGCAGTGTATCTACAGTTTATATATATAGTTGAAAATATATTAAACTACGGTATTATATTTCACAAATGAATCATATAGTTCATTAACATTTCTCAGAGACTTTGAGCTCCATTATTTAAATGAGCCTTTACTTACTTTCCCGTAGCTCAGCAGGATTATCCTCACCAAGACAACGTTAATGTGAGCACCTAAGGATTCATCGTGGTAGATTTCATTAACCTGCGAGAGAGCATTGACATGTTTAATAATGACCCCGTCAATAAGTAATTATGGTAGTAATGATAAAACATAACCTTCTTATACACCGTCTTCCAGATATAGATCATCTGTGCTCATTAATAAAAAAAGGGGCATTTCTGTTGAAGTGAGAGAAGACTCTTTCTTCCTGAAATTATGGCGCCCTTCTATACAGACTACATACAGACCTCAATCGGGAAAGTTGTTGAAGTCAATGAGAATTTAAGCAGATGGTTATGTGCTGTCCTGAACAGGAATGGACTTAACCACAAGCACAAGAACTGTTTTGATTTGGGTAATAATTGACAGAAATACTCCCAAGGATGAGAAACCCAGTACAGCACCATGTTGGCACAACTGTGTCAACACTAATCCAATCTCAAACTATACAAGCAGAGAAAAACCTACCAAGTCCTAACAACTATGACATATTTTTGTGTTACACATGAACAGAGGCAAACCATTTAGGTGCACCAAAAACAGAGCTAGGAATATTTTAATGGAGTGAAATACAGACATACCAGCAACATCTAAGAACTAACACTCCAAGCAGCTGCGGAAAAAGATAAGCTGTTAAAGACGTTGGTTTGGCTAATCTACGATGAGAGAAATGCAAGATCATGATGGCCAACTTATGTGCTTGAAAATGTCTTTTTTTTTTACTTTACAAATCGGAACAAATACATAAATAAATATCTGGAAGGCAAGGATGTTCCCTTCTGTCTTCTCCCTGATCATTTGCTTCCAGTAAATCATGACTCTGAGCTACACCATTTCATGAGCTGGAGACAAAGAATTCTTCACATGTCATCTTTTCTAATTATGAGAAATATATAAATCACAAGAAGTTCATAAGTTTAAGTATAATTTTATTAAAAACAAGATTGCGAAAACATTGGAGTTGCATCAGTGGGTGTAGCTCCATAGGGGACTACATCAAAACAGAAATCACTTCTGAGCTCCAGAGAAATAGTTAGATGCTGCAGTGGTAGGGTCGAATTGATGTTGCTGCCATCATGGTCCAGGAAATACGTGAGAAGCAAGAATTTTTGGGGGTGACATCTTTTATGTACGGTTAGGCTAGGTATTTGGGTGAGACCTGAGGAAGGGTACCGTGCTACTCTACAGCTTCACTTCTCTAGGTCTATCCCAGCCATGCGGCTGGGCCCATAAAAGATATCACCACAACAATTCTTGCCTCTTGCATAGATTCCTTCGTGCAAGGTAAAAAAAAAAATCATTAAATATTAAACTGGGAGTTTTCCTGCATGCTGGGTACTACTTACAGAAATAGTATCTTGACATTATGCTTCCAAATTCAAGCTTAGGCACCTAATTTTCCCAAGTTGCAAACACCCGACCATTTCCTGGGCAGTGACTGAGATCCGCTTGGTGCTCATTGCCCTGTGAAAGTTTGGTTACTTATTTAGGTGCCAAGACGTGAATGTAACCTCTTTTATTTGAAAGGTGCGGCTTTTCTTCCAAAGACTTTTATAAAGGCAGATTACATGCTAGGCTATATTCATACACTTGCCTTTAAACAAAACATTTACTCTGAGCAAAACTTGTGTGCTATCGTTTCTTTGGGCTCTTTACACCACCCACTCAAGGGCATTATCTTGATGCAGAGATACTAATTTGCCTCTTTGTGCATTGGGAAAAGAATACATGCGTCACTGATAATGATCTGAAATATGCACTATGTTCCATATAAAGCCTCTGTGCACAGGGGACAATATATATGACATGTAAATAAGCATTTACTTAGTTCATAATTTATAATCCGTATTGTCACAGACTTCTTTCTCATTGCTTTCCAGAACCAAGCCTCAGCCTTTTCTAACAATAGTAGAATAATATAGCAACTGTATCACAACTATGTGCCAAAATAAAACTTGGCGTGAAAATGCAGACAGAATAATCCTGCAACACTGCTTGACAGTTCACGCTCGGAAACTCACAATCTGCCTGCTCTGATGAAGGAGAAACCCTGCACTAACCCTGTATCACGGGCACGCAACATCTTGCAGGGCACGAATCAGGTAACATGTCATGCTACTGCATATGTCACTTCAAACAGACACGCAGAACGGGACTGAGTTACAGTTGTAGGAACCATAACTTTGAAATGATGGACTTTTTACTCCTGTGTGGGAAATGTTTCTCCATATATATGCTAGAGCTGGTTGAGCGTCTGCCCAATGGGAAACTCCAATGTTTCAAAATTTATTTTCATTCCAAATGGGGGGGGAAAATCCCCAAATACTCCGAAAGATCCCCTGGAACAACATTTTCAAATAAAATAATTTCAGGTAAATGAAAAAATTCAATTACAATAAAATTAAAATGTTTCATTCTGATTTCTGAACTTTACTATTTAAAATACAAAATAAATTTTGGAATGAAAAAAAAAAATAATTTGAAATTAAAAACATCAAAACTTTCTGATAAGGTCTAAAGGGAACGTGTTGACCTACCAAAATACTTGTTTCCATTTTTTTCCTGAAATGTAATTTCATTGCAATTGACACATTTTCCTACAAAATGGCATTTGTCAACAGCAAAAGTTTCCATCAGGAAATTTTCAGTCTGATCTATTAACAACTTTTTGGCATTGTTTGCTTTGATTTGCTAAAAAGGGGGTGGCTACTGGCTACAGAAGACAACACACTGAAATAAATGCATACTTATTTTCATGTATAATCTAAATGGCATCTGCTTGTTTCCATGTGCTATTAAAAATGAGATCCAAGTGTCTGAACACTGAAACAGATGTGCTCTCAAATGCTTAATAGAACTCATATATGAAAAGATTTTCTCTTAAACTAGAGCCTTAATACCCTACCTGCCTTTTCATTCCCAGGACTGCAGTGCTATCTAATGGAATTCACCCTGCGTAACACATTACCAGCTCCGGGTCTCCGAGGCCTTTGCTCAAACTTATAACAGCTAAATTAAAAGCAAATAGAGTCATTACAACATACAGCCAGCCAGATAGAAAACTTCAGTAATGTATCTAGCTGTCCAGATAAACGCATGTAAACTTGAATCCATTTCTTACTGATTTTGTAGTGATGTAAGTCCATTTACTTCAGTGGAAACATCCCGGTTCATACCCACAAAAGGGAGATCCGAACTGTGATTCCTGCCTGTCTTTATACGTGTAAATGATTTCATTTAGCTTGAATCCCTTTTTCTACTATAGTATGCTACAAGCAGGAACCTTAAGTCCTGTTTGTCTTATCTTCTGCACTTCAGCTTATTGAAAGACCCCACTGCTGCCCTTGTGATGCTTCTAGAAAATGGTAATATAGACCCCTGTACCTTATTGATTCTTAGGTAGTATCTAGCCAGGGGCTTTACTGGGCACATCTACATGAGATGTTTATTGCGCAGTTGACTAATTAACTGTGCAGTAAATGTCTCAGCGTGTGTGTGTGTGCCCCTCTGAGGGTACACAAAAATAATAAACTCTGCAGTGGAGTTTTTTTATGTGCAGCAGTGCATGTGCAGGAGCTGACCTAGCTGGCTGGGGCGCAAGGGTGCTTCAGTGTGGGGGCTGCCTGCTGGCTAGCTCTGCATTGAAGCACAGTTGTGCTCCAGTCAGCCCATCCACAGCACACTGAGCGGGGTCGGAGCAGCCCTGGGCTGGCAGGTTGCTCCCTGAACCCTCTGCCTAGCTCTACTCTGTTCTGCACTCCAGGTGCATGTGTAAACAGCACACTTGTGAGTTTCCTGGAGCAATAAACTGTAGAGCAATAAGTAATAATAAGCTCACAGTTTATTGCTGTGTACTAATTGTGTGTGTATACACTCTCACTATGTAGCAAAATAAGCTTACAACAATATAAAAAGAGATACATGATGCAATTTGTTTACTATCAATTGAATGAATTTAGTGTTTTTACTCTTGTTGCAATCAGCCATAATTTCACATTGCAGTTGGTTGTACTGTAGTAAAATCTGCATGGTCATCTCTGCTGAGAACTATTTTGGCAGCATTCCATACTGGGTGTATCTCTCTGGGTCTTTACATTGGTGAGGATCAGCTCCTTAAACGATGGCAGTGCAAAGGAAAAGGAAGCACGCAGACAGCGTCTCCGACTCAAAGTTCCTGCACTCCGGTGCTTTGCATTCAGATGTGCATGGTGATTCAGCATTTAGAGAAGGCAATGACGTTGGACTGGGGCATCTCAAAGAACTCAAGATTGGGCAAATTATTTTGAAGGAAGGTCTGACAAGTCACAAAACTACTAAAGGTCACAGACCATTTTTCTACTATCTACCTCTATAGTTTAAGTGACTGGCAATTTAATTAAAGACAAGACTTTTCTGTTCTCATCTTAACGGAAGCCTTGGGCTATGCATTACAGATAGATGCTTCTCCTCCAAAGCCAGGTTGGCACAACTGGGTGCCCTCTGTTAGAGAGATGGGCTGTGTTTATTTTCCCCTTCCAACTCCCCTTGCTCATTTTATGGTTTTTCCTAAGAAACTGGAACCAGAGACTGCAGCTGAGCCCAACCTGAACAAGCCAAGCAGTTGCAAAGGATGCGCTATGTTCTGTTTATATTAGCTTCAGGAAACACTGATAGGTTTTTAAAGTGCTTACCACAAAGAGGCTCTAATCCTGACGGGGGCTTTTGAGCATTACTGCAATATAAATAAATAACAACAACAGGCCTGCAGCTTTGCAGGCCTCACTATTGGTCAGGGGAGCTGCAGACAACTTTGCAGGATATACAAGTGAATGGTTTCCATGTATTTTTGAGATGACCATCAATAAAAGCAACAGCAGCACAGATATTATGGGAAGTAATGCACAGATGTATTTGTACAGTTGTAAAGAAGCTTCCCGATTCATGGCACACGTTACACGCACGCGCGCGCGCGCGCACACACAAATAAAACAAACCACCGCCCCCTCAAACTCATTGAACACAGACCATCAAAAGCCATCAGAAAATAACTAGAGTTAGGGACA